TGTAGCACTATGCGTGCACTTTGGATTGTTGCCAGGCACTCATCTGATTCCCTAGTCATGGGGAACAGAGGAGCTTCATGGGTATATCAGCCATGAGTAATTGTGTTATGTTTAGGTTCTTGGGATAAAGCCAGATGGGGCTGAGAATATACTCTGAATAGTTAAAAGCAAGCTGACTTTCAGAGTAGAAGAAAGAATTCTTGGGTCTGGGGACTGAGGCCAACTTCTAACCCAGAGGTAAGGCAAGGGGTTAGATGCTATGACCCAGAAACCAGGATTGGTGTAAAGTGGGATCTGGGGCAATTTACGGTGGTTCAGTGTTGGTTCCAGTCAACAACATGCATGAGACTATGCTAAAATGCTAGCAAATTATAAACTTTTCTTCAGGTTCCCAAAAACTACATTGGAAAGAAATTATTTGTGATCTATTAATTCAACGAGCAAAGAAACAACTTAGATCCAGAGTTCTTAAGTATTTTTTTTTTTTTTTTTTTTATCCTCACCCGAGGATATTTTTCCATTTTTTGTACAGATAGAGTGGGAGGGAGAGAGAGGAAGGGGGAGAGAGAGAGAAACATCGACGTGAAGGGACACATCGAGTGGCTGCCACCCGCACGACCAACCAGGGTCGGGGACAAACTGCAACCGAAGTACGTGCCCTTAGCGGGAACCGAACCCGGGTCTCTCCAGACCGCAGGCCGACGCTTTAACCGCTGAGCCAAACTGGCCAGGGCAAGTATTTTCTTTTTTAAAAAAATCCTCACTCAAGTATACTTTTTCTATTTATCTTCAGATAGAATGGGAGGAAGAGAGAGAAACATCATCGTGAGATGGACACATTGACTGGTTGCTTCCCACACGACCCCGACCAGGGACAGGGACCAAACCACAACCAAGGTTCCTGCCCTTGACAGGAAATCGAACCTGAGACCTCTGGTCTGCATGCCAACTCTAACTGCTGAGCCAAACTGGCCAGGGCATATTCTCTTTATAACAGAAACTAACTTCTTTTTACACGTAAAAAAGTTTTTTTGTTTTTTTTGTTTTTTTTTTTTTTACAAATGGCAACTAATCTTTTATAGAACGAGAGACCAATTTTTTTTTTTTTATGTTTTTATTGGTTTTAGAGATAGAGGAAGGGAGAGGGGTAGAGAAAGAAACATCATTGTCAGAGAAAAATTAATTTGTTGCCTCCGGTACCCACCCTGACCAGGAATCAAACCTGCAACCTGAGTATGTGCCTTGACTGGAAATTGAACCTGTGACCTTTGGGTGCATGGGATGACAACCAACTAAGCCAAACCGGCAAGGGCAAGTAACTAATTCTGAAATTTTTTTTTTTTTTGCTTGGCTTAACTTTAAACTTTTAATTTTCTTGTTTGTGTTTGCATATTGCAACATAATCAAGTAATACATTTTCAAGTTTAGGTTCAGTAATAAATGAATAAATAAAATTCCACATTGCTTAAGCTGGGACTAAGCTAAAGCCACACATACACAAGCTTTTGTATTACAGTCTCTAGTTGTTTTGCCAGTAATAAACTTGACTGTGTAGCATCATATTATGCTGGACTGTTTAGGTGATGGTACATCAGAGAGAGAGCAAGGAAAAAAATCCGAGCTTGTATCTATAACAGATACAGACAACAGTGTGGTGATAGCCAGAGGAAAAGGGGGGCTGTGGAGAATAGGTGGAGGTGGGCAAAGAGGGGGAGAATGGGGATGAAAAAAAAACTTTGCTTGGGGTGGTGGGTGCACAGAGCAGTGTGCAGATGATGTTTTATGAGTTGTGCACGGGAAACCTGCATGGTTTTGTGAACCAATGTCACCCCAATAAATTCAATTACAAATTTTTTTCAAATTGATCATAATTAACAAGTAAATTGATGGTTAGTAGGGGATATCTGTAATGTAATTAAGCTTTGAAAAAGATATATGTGGATTGTCTTCTAACAAACTCCTGCATGAATAACTAAATACCCCAACAAAATTAATGATTTGCTGCAACAAAGAAAAACAATTAGCAAATTAATATAGTTTAATTTGCACTTCTATTTTAGGGCTTAGGTTGCTTGAAGGAGCTAAAAAGTATCCTCACACCCCAATCTACTTAGAGGCTATTAGGAAATGAACATATCTGCATTTTTCAGTTTCTTCTGCTGCTTAAATTTTTAAATTTACTCAGCTATTAAGGTAATGTGAACATTACTGGCTTTGTGGTGTTTTTAAAATAAGTTTTGCTTGTTCTGGAAAAAGCTGTAGGTCTTCAGTATCTTTAGTTCAATAATAACATTTAAAAAAAATCCTCCCTAAAAAAACCAAGCAGGTGGCACTTAAGAGTACTTCCAAATGGGGGAGAAAATAGAGTACTTCCAAAGAGATAAACAGAACTAGGAAGCAGAGCTGGGGAAGGAAAGCTAAACTCAGTGAATTTGCATACATTAATACCCTAGGTGGGATTTTTTTTTTTTTACTGTTAGCCTTTGGGAACTGATACTTAGCTATTTATGTTTTATTAATTTTATATCCTGAAGTGCTTGAATAGAAATAGCATACTTTCCAACAAACTTGTTCAAATGAAAACTTGAGATATCAATCTATAATCCAGAGTGCTTTTAAGAGCTATCAAATAGGCCATAACATTCTTGAAAAAGATTAAGGATAAGCCCTGGCCAGTTTGGCTCGGCGGTTGGAGCATCGGCCTGTGGACCAGAAAGTCCTGGGTTCGGTTCCTGCTAGGGGCACATAACTCTCCCGCCCCCTAAAAAAGAGTAAGGATAAGCTGTCAGTTTTTCAAGGTAGAAAAAGTAGCTAACAGGGCAATCCTTAAATTCCTATCTTTTACTCTAAGATATATAGTCTGGAGTTTGTTTTTTTATCCTCACCAGAGGACATTTTTGCATTTATCTTCAGATAGAGCGGGGGGGGGGCGGGGGGGGGGGGATGTGAGAGACACATCAACTGGTTGTCACCCACAGGACCCTAACAGGCCGGACAAACTGCAATCGAGATACATGCCCTTAGCCAGAACCAAACCCGGGTCTCTCTGGTCCACAGGTTGATGCTCTAACTGCTGAGCCAAACTGGCCAGGGCTAGTGTGGAGTTTTTTAAATGAGTAGGAATTTTGTATTTTAGTGCTAACAGAATTCTTCATCACCTAACACTATCATATCTAAATGTCTGATATTACCATTGATGCATTTTATGCATGTTACACACATTTTCTATTTCTACAATATTTTCAGGGCAAATATTTTTATCATAATGGGTTCTATTACTATCCTACTAACTGCAGTTCAGAAAATTCAGTCTTACAGGCAGGTGGTTTCCTAGTCACATTTCATTCAATTATTTTGTTTCTCACAAGATAGGCTTCGATGTAGTCTACTGTAGATTAAGAAAAGGTAATTGTTCACTGTTGTATCTGCAGCATCTAGATAGAACAATGCCTGACCCAGTCCAGGTGCATAAAATTTGTTGTACAAATCCTGATCCTGCTGCTGAGTAAAAAATTAAGTCAATTAGTTATTTGGGGACTCTGGCTAGATGATCCCTAAAGTTCAAGTCAATGGTAAAGTGGTAAAGTATTTATTTTATCTCTAAATGCTCTGAAAAATAGTGGAGTGTTTAAACAATATTAATCGGTGGAGATTGCAAATAGACAGCTCAAAAAATATTAGTATTGGGAGTTGGTGGAGGGAGGGGGAGGTTAAGGTGAAGGAATTAAGAAGTACAGATTGGCAGTTATAATAATAGTCCTGCAGGTATAAAGTACAGCACAGAAAATACAGTCAATAATATTGTAATAAGTAAGTATGGTGCCAGGTAGGTATGAGACTTATGGAAGGGGATCACTTCATACACAAATGTCTAAAGACTGTGCGGTACACCTGAAACTAATATAATATTGAATGTGCATTGTTAATAGAATAATTTAAAAGTATATTAAAGACATTAGTATTTGTTATAAATCGTGGATGGTGTAACATGAAGACAAAGTTAAAAAGCCTTTTGTATTATGGTAAATTACGTCTTTTTAAAAACACATGACCCCCAAAGGTGGTTTAACTGTGTCACTGTGACTATCAATAGTGCCTAGAACAATGTCTGGCTCATAGTAAGTATTCAATAAATACCGGTTGAATTAATAGTGTAATATTAACATTCCTTTTGAACTCTAGAAGCAGTTGGGTCTTTACCCATCCTTAGAAAGCGATGGAGCAGGAACAGAAATCCCTTAAAAGGTCAGGACAAGTAACAGGGCTGAGCTAAGCTCATGGGTAGTACCCGACAAGCTCAAAGCACTGAAGGACAGGGAAGAAAGAGCACCCAAAATACGCCTAAGAGAAAACAAAACAAAGTAACATAAAAACAAGCATAAGCGGAAAGACGTTTCTACACTGTCGCCTGGCAGGAAGCCACCGCAATGACCGCAGGTCAACCCGTCACCGAGCGGTCACCTCTGCTGAGCTCCGGCTACCACCAAAGCCCTTTTGCCTACACAGACCCCTCTTTTAAAAGATTCTCATCCATCCTGACATGCCCAAGTCCATCCGCGATCCTCAGAAAAGGGAATCACAAATGCTTAATTCACAGCCTGTCCTCCATTCCATTCAAATAACGCAGCCAATAGGAAAATCCGCCCTGAGCAGACGACCCGGCGGAGCTGTGACAGCCCTGCAAGCAGGACTGCCCGGTAAGAGCCGCCCTACGGCCCGGCGGCTGGCCTCCGGAACCGCAGGAACCCTCAGCCCGACAGGACAACCTTCCTTCCCTGTCTCCGCCCTTCCAGGTTGGTCCCAGCCCCGGCAGCCCGGGCGGTCTGGACCACACCCGCTTCCCTCCGGTGGCCGGTCCGCCCCCGCCGCAGTTCGCGGGAACGCTCTTCCTGGGGCGGGCGCGGGCCTAGGGCGCATGCGCCCTGACCGAAGGGCGCCTCCCTGCCCGGATCTCGCGAAGTTACGTTAGATTGGCCGCCGGTGACGGGTGGCCGGCCGGGGGCGGGAGGGCTTCTGTGATAGAAAGGGAGGTCCGCTCGGCCGGGCGCGCCGCCCCAGTGCTCTGTGGGATACTGGAAGTCTCGAGCGTCTCCTCCCGGTTCCCAGCCCTCCTCTGGCCCGCACTCATAGAAACAGCCACACACCCCCTGCCTCCCCTCTCTTCCCTCTCCGCCTCCCCCTCGCGATAAGAAGACCCGGCGGCAGGAGAGGGGATGAAGATGGCGGACGCGAAGCAGAAGCGGAACGAGCAGCTGAAGCGCTGGATCGGCTCCGAGACGGACCTCGAGCCTCCCGTGGTGAAGCGCCAGAAGACCAAGGTGAAGTTCGACGATGGCGCCGTCTTCCTGGCTGCTTGTTCCAGCGGCGACACGGACGAGGTCCTCAAGCTGCTGCATCGCGGCGCCGACATCAATTACGCCAATGTGGACGGACTCACTGCCCTGCACCAGGTCTGTGCGCCCCGCCGCCGGTTCTCTGACCCTGCAGGTCCTCCGCTCTCCCGCCGAGGCCTCCGCTCCGCTCGGGGCCTCCTGGAGCCCGGAGCGGCTCCCCGCGAGGGAAGGCGGAGGGAGGGAGGGATGGTGGAGGGACGGCGCTGGGCTGGAGGCCCCTTCAGACCAGTTGTGGTGGAGTTGGGAACCGGCCGATTTCCGGGGCAGAGGGGAAAAGGGACTGTGGTCGGTTTGGCCCGCAGGGCCAGGTGTGGACGCGTGTCTGGGATTTGGGATCGAGACCGGGAGGGATGGGTGTAGTGTGGTTGTGCTTGGGGCCCGATGTCAGTAACATACTTGGAGGACGGGAGATGCTGAAGAAAACGACCAACGAGGGGCATTAGGGACACTTGGGCAGTTGGACGTCTTTGGCTTATAGGGGCAGTGGATTTGTTGTAGTTTGTAGGACTTGATTACAGATGATGATGATGATGATGATGATGGTAATGCTGATAGTAATCAAGAGCCCTAAGCCTAGAGCCTTGAGCGGACGATTTCCTGTTTTCTCCTTTATTACTCTTGGTCACTGGGGAGGGGAAAACGGGGTGTAATTAGCTGATCTGTACCGGCTGAAAGGGAGGGGACGGGGTAGGGAAGCGTTTACCAGGGCCTTCCTACCTCCGCGGGACCCGAACGTGTTGAATGAAGTTTGCCGCAGTGTCAGAGATCCCGGAGCCCCAGGTCCTGGGGTATGCATGGGGCTCAGAAAGAGAAGAACAAACACCGACACTCCTTTCAAAGCCAGTTAGCAGGCTTTGATTTTTCTTGTGGGGGTGGTAAGCTGGTCACAAACTTTTCTCAAAATGGATGCTTTGTGCATGTTAAAGTTTTATAGTAGTCTGATTGGGATCTCTCAATGTTAGCCAAATAAGGAGAAACTATTGGCAATCCAGAGATAATGTTCCTTTGCCTTTAACAGGCCAAAAGCAACACAACCACGTAGAGTTCTGCATAAAAAGCATTTTTAGTGACGGTAACAGATGACAAGACATAGACTCTTTCCATTTTCTTAGCGGGTAACTTGGGAGTTACTAGAAAACGAATTTAGAGTAAAGCTTCCCCTTACATTGAAAAGACTTGTACAGTATCTCAAAGTTGCCCTAGTTATATGTGGAAAATTGTAGCTTTATTTTGTTTAATACTGTAACAAAAACTTGTTTGGGAGGTTAAAGTTAAGCCTTTATATCTTATGCATATTACCTTACTGCCTTTTTCACAGAGAGGTGTGTGGTGGCATTTTTCCTTTTACTTCTTCCTGTTTAATGAAGGACGATTGCTTTAAGTTTTAATTGAATTCTCATATCAAACTTGGCTTATAGCCTTTGTTTACAAAGTTGACTGGATGAACTGAAATGACTGACAAATTGCAGGACAAATCTGGAATTCAGAGTGTGGCATCCTGTAAAAATACGGTCTTTAGAACTTTCTCTGTTATTAATTCAGAGTCTGTAATGTATATGAAGCTTTTTTATTTGGCTGAAGTTTATTTTAAAGCATAGCTTAACTTTAAATTCTAAAAACATGGTGTTGAGAGTGAAAGTAAGTTTGGCATTAAAATGATAATGTAATTACATAAAATGAATCTTCAAGTTTCTTTCAAGTGTGATTTATACATTTTAATGTGGAATTGATTCTGAAAGACAGTTATTGTATGCCGGAAGTCAGGATACAGTTGGGTAATGGTTTTACATCAAAATATTTTATTAAAATAGTTAAATAGAAATGTGAAGTTACTACTGTTGTGGAGGAATGCAATTTGTGGAAAATTTCTAATATTTATTGGCTGAGGAAGGCTGAGAAAAATCATGTAACAGGCCTCTTAAAGGTTTCTGTTTTTAAAATTTCCTCTCAATTTGGACATGTTGCAAGAATGATCAGACTTACCACTGTCTTCTTGAATAACTGAATTCAGGGGTTAGTTTGGCATTATATAGGTGTAGTCTTTTTTGGGTATTTAGTTTGAACTGATAAGCACTTAAGCAGACGTTTTCTAGGTTTATTATGCATAATCATTTGCATAACTTTTGGTTTTGAATTATCTGCACATTCCTTAAATCAGCGAAGCCAAAATCTTTAAAATATCAGGCATTAACATTTTTATTACCTCTTCTCCACTCTCATTTCTCCTTTATTAACTCGTGTATGTTTTCCCCCATTGTGATTGTGGGTACAAGGAGGTTGCCTGGGGCAAATTCAGGACAACAGATAGTGAAAGGTGATAAATAAAACTCATTCAAATAAAAGAAATGCAAGAAAATGTTAAGCTTTTAAGGAATCTCTTGAATGCTGCTTGTTTTAAACACCTAAATTATAAAACCTAAAGCTGACCCACTGATTTCACTGATTTGTTTAATAGTCCTTGAATTTTTTTTAGCCTCTCAAAAGATCATAGAATACTTAAAATGTTTTTACTAGATTAATTATTGCTTAGTGTTTTGGAATATTCATTTACTTTTTTGGTTCTGATCAAGTGTCCTAAATTTCACTGTCAGGAGAAAAGTTTTAGGGACTTAACAACACACATAATACACTTTTTAATTTAACATTTTATTTTCATTTTTTAATATAAGCAGCTTATATTTAAAATTTTATTATTCGTTAAATGTGCTCTCATCAGAAGTTACAAAAAATAATAATTTTTTGGCTATTCTTTTTGTATACAAATATGTCATGCAGCCCTGGACGGTGTGGCTCAGTTGGTTGGAGCGTCTTCCCCTGCAGCAGAAGGTTGTGGGTTCGATTCCCTGTCAGGACACATACATAGCTTGCAGGTTTGATCCCAGCGCTACTGGAGGCAACTAACTGATCCATGTCTCTCTCTCACATCAGTGTCTCTCTCTGCCCCCCCCCCCCCCGCCCCTGCTTCTTTCACTCTCTAAAATCAGTTTTTAAAAGAAAGAAATATGTCATGCATATAGGGGAAAAAAGCAGGGTTTCTTGTCAAATTTCCTAACTTGGTCTCTAGAATAGCCCACTCCCCATATAGAAAACCATATGGAGATTATGATGTAAACATCTGATTTTTCTAGAACTGAGGTCTAGAGTAGATTTTCATTTCTACAGTGGGCGATAATCAGCTCTGTTTTTATAACTACCTGTTAGTTTTACACTTAATGTGATCTTTATAAAGATTTTAGGAGAGTAATAATAGAATTTTTATTGAACGTTTTATTGCTGATTCTTACTAATATTGGTGTGCATAAAATTCAAGACTGAGATTTCTTCACTAATTTTTAGTTTAGCCTTTTGTTTTTTACCTAAAAATTGTATGTACTTCCTCTGTGCCAGTGACTTCTAAGTCAGTTTCCATTTCTCACATTTCTGCAGAGCTCCAATCCCTCATTTTCTACTGATGGTGTATTGATTTATTATTCAATATATTATGATTTTATATTTAAAAATATATCTTTAAGTTATAACAAATAGAGGTCCATCGTTCTTGCGATAGAATAACAATTACTGTACTGTATTTACATTTACCTTAGTGATTTCTTCAAAGGGTCTTTTTCAAACATGGATTTTCATAATTGTAACTTAGTTTTATAATCTACTTTTATCACTTCAACCTGAAATGAAACTTTTCTTTCTTCACCAGGTCTACTCTTCTCATTGATGCCTGTTTCTATTAATGATGTCATTAATCTCTGGATCAAGCTTTAAACATTTTAATTATTGTTTCCGCATCTCCTTGTCTATATTTATCCCATCTGTCTTTACATTTGCCTTTGCATCAATTCTTTTCCTTGCCGTTCTCACTATCAACCTACTTCATACCTTTATTATTTATTTATTTATTTTTTATCCTCACCCGAGGACATTTTCCCATTTTTTTGTTCAGATAGAGTGGGAGGGAGAGAGAGGAACAGAGAGAGAGAGAATGAAACATCAATGTGAAAGGAACACATCGAGTGGCTGCCACCCACACGACCGACCAGGGCCGGGGACAAACTGCAACCGAGGTACGCGCCCATAGCGGGAACCGAACCCAGGTCTCTCAGGACCGCAGGTCGACGCTCTAACCGCTGAGCCAAACCAGCCAGGGCCATACCTTTATTATTTTTATTCCCAGAGTTTGGTAATAGCTAATTGCTTTCCGCACATCTCTGGTCCAGTCCAGCATTTGTATTGGTATTTGACTAATCTTTTTTTTTTCATCCTCACCCGAGGACATTTTTCCATTTTTTGTACAGATAGAGTGGGAGGGTGAGAGAGAAAGAGAGAGAGAGGGAAACATCGATGTGAAGGGGACACATCGAGTGGCTGCCACCCACACGACCAACCAGGGCCGGGGACAAACTGCAACCGAGGCACATGCCCTTAGCTGGAACTGAACCCGGGTCTCTCCGGACCGCAGGTGGACGCTCTAACCGCTGAGCCAAACCGGCCAGGGCTTGACTAATCTTTTAATGCAACCACTTTGTGTCACTTCTTAAAATTCAGATTTAAAGTGTTTCATTATTTAATTTATACCTGATATATCTCCATTATGTTATAATTTTTACTCTTTACTTTTTTATTTCCATGCCCATGGTCATACTTTTTCTGCCACTAGGGTATCCTCCTTCTCCTTTGCTAGTCAAAATCTTAATCATTCTTCAGGATTCAACTCAATTGCCAGCCAGAAAGGATCTTTCTGTCTTTTGAATTCATATAATACTGTGGCACTGGAGAGACATTCCTCAGAGGTGCTCACTGTACCTTATAGTTCTGCCTATTAAAACACTTCTTACTGAATAGTGTTTGTTAGTTTGTCTTTCCTGGATGACTCTAAGGGCTCAGTGTCACATTTTATATTTCCAGAGCCTGGCACATAGTAGGTGCCCACTAAAGATTTATTTAATTGTTTCTTTTGCCTTGTGTCATAGATATGAAGTTTATTTGTATGTTATAAGATATATCTTCAACATCTTTACATCCAGATACTTAGAATATTGTTCCTGCACATAGTAGAACTTGCA